ACAACAGAAAAGTGGGTGAAGGGAGATGTCAGACAGTGTAAGACATGACAAAAAAAAATTTATAAATTATCAAGGGTTCGTGAGGGGGCAGACGGGGTGGGGGTGGGGGGCGGATTGAGGAGCTGATATTAAGGGCTTAAGTAGAACGCAAATATTTTGAGAATGATGAGGGAAACAAATGTATAAATGTGCTTGACACAATAGATGTCTGTATGGATTGTGATAAGCGTTCTATGAGCCCCCAATAATATGATTAAAAACAAAAGTTGGGGCCATTGAAATGGAATTTCTTCAGTGGTCTATCCAGTAAATGTATCCACCCACATCCACACCACGCAGACTGTCTTTTTCTGACTCGGTTAAAGCGATGTCTCTTCTTTTATCCTCAGCTAACTCTGCTGTCTCCTCTTTCATTCGGGTCCCTGTCTACTCCAGGGAGGGATTCAGTTTCTAATCTTGATCTTCTTTTTGTGATCCCACTAGCCATATGTGGTTATTTAAATTTAAAAGTGATTTAATTAAAATAAACCCAACTCCTTCGTGGCACTACACAGGTTAGGGCCACTGCATCGGGCGAGCACATAAAGAACACTCCACGATCACAGGGGTTTTAAGATACTCGTTTTGCTGTTGAGAATGTGCCACGTCAACCACTTGCTGTGTCACAGTTAGTGGCCCTGGTCCCGTTCTTTGAGCAGCGCAACCATTCTCCCTGTCCTTTTGTGCGTCGTCCCTTTCGCATTAGCACGTAGTCACCGCCCAGGTTCTTCCATAGGCAGTTGTTGGGTTTGGAATACACACTCGACACTCCCTCTGGGCGGCCTTCCCCTAAATGGTACATGAACACCCAGCGCTAATTTACACTCAATGTGAAGAAGGGATCCTACGTTACGACAAAAGTTATCAACCAGTGGTTTCCACAGGACGGCTGCGCTGCGTGCTGGGCCAGCCCAGGCTGATGGGGTCAGCAACTGAGTCTGCACGTGAAAGCATCATCCCAGCCCATTACATTTTACTTTTCCTCCTCTTTTTTTTTAAAACCACTCAGCACACCATGAGGCTTGAGGGATGCAGAATCTGGAGGGATTTTTGTTTTTTAAAAGAAACACACTATATATATTTACACAGCCCATCCAAAGAAATGAAATCAACAACGATACCCTAGTAAGTTCATAAAAACTGAGTGAGAATTCTCCATATAAGCTCTGCGCTCATTCATCAGTGTCACAAACCGCTCTCATAGCCTTTAGTTAGTAAGTGAAGGGAAAAAATCAAATGTCTTACCTGTGTGATAAAATGTGAGGAAAAACAGAAGTACTCCCATGAACATATTACTTAAAAAAGTGACAACTCCACAAGTAATTCCTTCAGGAACTGGGTAGACAGTTTCCACAAAAAGCTCAAAAAATATAGGTACACTGCTATTCAGAAACACTCCCAGGAGAATGCAGGAGGCGTACAACGTCACTAAAATAAAAACACAAAGATTTTAGTTTCATGGCGGCAGCAATGAGCCGGAGCAGCAGAGAGCTTCTGGGGAGTCTCCTTCGTCAGGAGCAACCCGGGAGCCCCATTTCTGATCAAGGTTCACAAGCCCCGCCCCGTCAGCTCTGTCCTTCGCGCACCATCTCGGGGGTTGGCAGACAAAGGTTTGCCCACTGGACCGTTACCAGTTTATTTGCTGAATCTTTTTGATAGACTACTCCAGAGCACAAACATCATTTTATCAATATAACATCATTAAAACAACTCTTTCCCCCTTAGTCACAGTTCTGGCATGTCAAAGAGAAGATAGGACACAGTAACTCAATTTGCAGTGTAGTTCATTCTATCATCTTAAAGGAGACGTAAAAATCTATGGGCAAATATAAGCCAATAAACATTACTTAAAACAGATCAGTTAATACAGCTCTCAAGTACAAAATTCACATTACTTGGTGTGCGACTTCTGGAGAAACACTTAAAATAGTTCTCAATTTGGCAATGAATACATATCAAGATGTTTTTTTTTTAATAAGTAAATTTTTGAGACTCAGAAAAACTTGACTCAGAACTGTTGTGATGAGCAGTAGCTAGGATAAATCAAATTTTGTGAAAACTACTAATGCCGAAGACCAAGGAATTGAAAATTGTTACCAATTTCAGCAGCCTAGAATCGATAAACATGCACTCAAGATCATGATTAGAGATTGAAAGGAAAAGGTAGAAGACCCAAAATAAGGATCAATAGCTGAAAACCATAACTTAGGGACAGAAATGTCAAAGGTCGCGTGATGAATTTTATGAGACAGACAACTTCCTCCTTCCAGATATCTCTTTTCAAGCACAGGCACAGCGACTATACCCGTGGAGATGTGATATGCCCTGGGGAGGACATCGCGCTTAGTAAAGCAGAGGGTCAGTGGCTGCCACCCACCGTGGCCTTCGGCACAGCCACGACTGTCGGGGCGGAGCAGCGGCTCGGTCTGTTGTACCCTGGCCGCTAGGCGTCAGGCCGACTGAATGGCATCGAGCCACAATAACTAGTAAATCGGTTATGTTTGAGTCATAGATTTACAGAGCCTACCAAAGTACGAGAATTGTTCCCCAGCATTCACAGTCCGTAACACAAAGGGGTAAAAATAAAATAGTACCTACTGCTTCCTCCAGTAGAATTTCTCTTAAGTAACCTCCACTCTTCCTACCCCATTATGCTAGCCTTTGAGCAGGACCGAAAGATAATTTTTAGCATACTCTAGTAACTCAAATAATGGGTGATTACTTAGACCTTTTCCTGAACAGAAGACAGTGAACAGGAAAACACAAGCATGACCGTGAACGAAGGACACAATGCTGGCGACAATGAGGTCACCAAATTAAATGGGACACAGCCGATGGTTACAATACATACCACTGGAACTATCAAGGTGCTTTCAAGAGATAATGTGAAACCTAACGCCTCCTGCTCATTGTAGATTTATTGAACACAGATCACAAAAAGCAATCAGCATATTCTATTTTGCATGTAGCTCATTAGTGATACATTAGGAAACGCAAGGATGCATCAGCAACGGTAGCTTTTATAGAGTATTCTACCCCCACATGCTTTATCAGAATTTACTGGCCAGTCAATGGTAAGCAGAGCTCAGAGGATTACTGACCCAAACACAATTAAGTCTGGGAGCTTTAAACGAGAAAAGATTAAAATAAGTGACAGGAAAAATCTGGTCTTAAGGATCAGGAAGTGCAACCAACTCTCATGAACTGAGTAAAAATTTCAGAAAATAATGATGAAATTAGCTGTTTTCTGGAAACATGTTTAGAAATAATACTTTATGCACACACACACACAAATATATATCTGCTTCTGAAACAAACATATCCCCCAAATATATGTCAGAATAAAGTGTATGCTATAAAAGACAAAAGAATGGCCATTTAATGGTAGCGATCTGAAAAGGAGGCGGTCAAGACGGGTCTTGAACAGGGAGATTCAACCTGGTCGGTTTTTCTCAAGCATGGCACCAAACATGAAACACGGGAAGATGTCTCAGCAACCGGGTCTGGGGACACGGGAGTGCTGTGGGAAAACCTCAGGAATGCCCCGCTCTCCTGGCCTCATCTCATGCTCAGTAGAAGCGTCTGCGCTCAGTGTCCTAGGCATCTGAATTCGGCATGGGCCAAAGGGACCTAAATAACGGTCTGAAGAAAGACAGTTTCTATTTGCGTTCCACATTTGCAAACACAGCCACCCTGAGCGATACGTGGGTTTGGTTCCGGATGGACCACTGCAATCGAACGACTTGCACACGTCTTAGTTTCTCAGTATAGATACAAGTTACGTTCACTCTATCTATACGGTGTCTACTAACTCTGTAATAAGACGAGACAACGTTTGAGATAAGGTGAGAATTTCCAAAAGATGACAGCGTCATTTGTGCAGGACAGGGGCAAATCAGATCTTTATAATCAGGACGTCGTGCTTGGCGCAGTGGGGGGAAGGAAGGCTCGACACAGTGGCTGCCCCATGGGCTCAGGCAGAGGAACACGTGTGAGGGAGGCGCAGGACCCGGGTCGCTGTGGGTCAGAAGGGACTCCGTGGCAGCTGACGACAACAGGGACTATCAGAAGGAGAAGATGGCTCTCTCAGGACTGACGCAATAGATCCCGTGGGGTCTTGGGACGTGCCTTAGGTAGAAGCCGATTATGACGAATCTGAATTTACTTCCCCTTGCGTTTTCAGCGGAGCCTTGGATCCAGTGTCTTTCTGCACTGGAGCGGGTGAATGTCATCTAATGAAAGCCAGGCAGACAGGATAATTTCCTCTTGTCGAGAGAGATTCAAACTACACCATCATTAAGTATTTCTATGGCTTTCTATAGCTCTGATGCTAAAATTATAATAAACTGCCTTTCAATTAAAGGGTCAGATAATGTGGAAGGACGAACACCACTGAAGTGCTGAGGCAGTGTTTGCTTTTGTCTTCCAAAGAAGCGAATAATATTTCACTGGCTCATAACAACCCCCCCCCCCAAAAAGCAAAGTCCTAAATAACACAAAATAATTACAGTAGATCAGCTTGAAGCACATGAAGTGGATTATAACCCTGAAAATACTTCAGTACCCCTCCCTCCACAGCCTCTGCTCTCAACAACAAACCAAATTACCCAAATGTAGGAAGCAAAGCTATATGAATACGTTTTTCTTAACTAAAACACTCAGACCTTGAGTGTTTCTAAAAGCCCCAATAAACAAATGACAATATTTCCCATAAGAACGACGTGGGGCTTCAAAAAGCTCATGTAAAATGGGATTAAAAGACAATGGAATTTCCCCCACAAACTTTTGGAGGCCTCCCTTGTATTTTCACCTAACATTGAATGAAACTTTCCCAGAATCATCAATAACAACTTCAAAATCTCAGATCTATACAATTTCTTAAACACCTTTAAAACCTTTCAATTATGTTACATTTGACCATCTTACTGGCTCAGCAGCCATCTATATGTACAATGTTAATAAGTTATTCACACCCCACTGTGATTGTTACTTTTTCTTAATCAGTGTCTATCACGAGAGGGTGGACTTGACAGCATCTGAAGCAAAGGGTGCGAGAATGGAGCACTCCATTAACGGGAGCCCTGCAGGCTGCCACAGTCTAGAACAGTGCCGCTGCTGCTGAGGGCGAAGTCCACGTGCTGCGAGGAATGGCTGGAAGAACCGGAGTGCTTAAATGAAAGGCTGGGACCAGGTATGATTAAATAAACGGCCGTGGAGTTGATGCCGACTCACGGAGACCTGTTAGGGCAGAGCAGAACCGTCCCCAGGTTCTTTCAAGACTGTAACTCTTCTTGGGAAGACGAAAGCCTGTCTTTGCCCCGTGGAGCCGCTGTTGGGTTTTAACTGCCGATTTTGCGGTTCGCAGGACTGGGAGTGATCCGATTAAAGGCTCAGAGCAGACATGACAGATGTCCCCAAATGTTGGCAGAGCTGTCAGTGGAAGCAGGGGGACTGACTACTGCATGGGAAGAGTATCCTAGGACCTGGGCTTCAAACTAGTTCATTCTGGTTTGGCCCCCCGCGTTCTCCCCTGATATGCTGAATCAGAAATGCACAATCCCAGCAGGTGGTCAAAGTGAAATGAACCGGTTCAGAGCCCTGCCAAGAACCCCCGGCTGTCCCAGGATGGAACAGTCTGCCCTGAGGGAGGTAAGCTGAAGTTGGATGAATATATATCTCAGCGAGATAGAAGAGAATCAGTCAGTGAATAATAAGTAATATGAGGTGATGGCTACAGTCCACTTCAGTAGATCAATAATTAATTTAACAGAAGGCATCTGCATGCTGTCACGGAGTCAATTCCTGCTCAGGGGGGCCGACATGACAGAGTGGAACTGCCTGTAGGGTTCCCCAAACTGGAATCTTCAGGGAAGCAGACTGTCACCTCTTTCTCCAGTGGAACAGCTGGTGGATTCAAACCGCCAACCTTCCAGTTAGGAGGCAAGTACTTAACTACTATATCACCAGGGCTCCTTACATGAAGGTGGAAGAATATTAAGATTAACATCAACAATTTTTGATGCTTCGCGGTCAACGTATCTTAAAGTGGGAGATTCTACCTCTGGCGTGGGGGTCACAATATCCAGGGGGCTGTAAAAGATACGTACACTGTATCCTGGATTATGGGTGAGAGTACCAAAGTTTGTAAGTGCCAGGAGGATGCTGAATAATTTTTTTTCTGAAGAGGGCCCAGCAGGCCCAATAAGTTTGGGAACCTATGTTCTAGGTGTATAAGAATAGACAATTTGTTTAAAATCTTATTAATAAGAAATATTATAAGGCAATACAACAAATTCTTATTATATGTGATCTTATGGATTAGAATACAAAAGTTCCCTAAAGAAACGGTTATGACATTAACATAATTTACTGCTATTGTTCCTAATATCCAAATTTTAATTTTTTGGTCCTAATATTCAAATTTTTAT